CCTGTATACTTTTTGAAATTAATAATTTAAAAATCTTTATGTACCTCAAGTGTAAATGAAATAAGGTTTTATCAGCATAAAAAAATCCTAAATTTAGGAAGTGTCCTTTTTTGCTATCCAAGCTTGGTTCACAGAAATAAAGAAAGTCTAGGGAGGAAACTAACAGCCATAGATTTACACCAATGTGCGGTATACTGGTTTCTTGTAAGAAGAGCATAAATTTCAAAATCAAACAGACTTGAGTTCAAATCACATTTCCACCTCTTTGGCTTTATGTGGTTTTGGGAAAAATCTCTCAACTTTACTGAGTTTCTGTTTCTTCAGTATTTAATGAAATTAATCAATCACCTTGTTTGAGGAGCAAGTCACAATAGTTTTCAAATATGCAATAAGCACTTGATATATGATAATTATTACTCATAATAATCAGCATTATTATCACTTTTGAGACTGAAATGTATAGAGATCAGAAACCTAGTGAGCCTCAGGAAAAGAAAAGGAACTTTCCAACTATTAAGCATTAGTTCCTTAGTCATGTCAATTTTCTAAGAGCTTGCTGCTGCTGCTGCTAAGTCACTTCAGTCATGTCCAACTCTGTGCGACCACATAGACATCAGCTCACCAGGTTCCCCCGTCCCTGGGATTCTCCAGGCAAGAACACTGGAGTGGGTTGCCATTTCCTTCTCCAATGCATGAAATTGAAGAGTGAAAGTGAAGTCACTCAGTTGTGTCCAACTCTTAGCGACCCCATGGACAGCAGCCTACCAGGCTCCTCTGTCCATGGGATTTTCCAGGCAAGAAAACTGGAGTGGAGTGCCATTACCTTCTCCTTCTAAGAGCTTAGTTTCTTATAATTTAAAATTTCTAGAGTTAAGGTAGAATGACTTATGATTTGCCAGAAAATTCTTTGATGCATCTTTTTTATTTTAATTTTAAGATCCAGATGTGGCCATTTTGTATTTCTACAGATACTTGATTGACATTTAAAAATTAGCATTGTCCCACTTAAAAAAATTTAAATTCAAGAGAACTGAGTTGTGGCCCTGAAAGCTGGTACAAGAGTCAGAAGAGCTGGAAGCGGAAGTGGTTGCCAGGGAGCTGACCCACTCTGCTCATGCTTTGCCTGTTCCAGCAGGGATGCTGATGCAGAGCTTTCCTCCCAGGATACTCCCAGGGGCATCTGTGCATAACATGGACAGTAATTCATACTATAGTCTAGAGAGGCAATGTGGCTACAGAGTCAGACAGACCCATGTTCAAACCTCAACTCACTTTCCTCCTGACTGGTTACTTTGGGCAAGTTACTTAACCTTCCTGAGCTTCATTTACCTCTTTGCAAAAGTTAATAATGATAATATCCACCTCAGAAGATGGTTCTGGTAAACGAGATAATATGCATAGAGAGTACCAAGCCTGTGTGCCCTTGACATGTACTAATTTCTTTCCCCTCCGAGTTTTACTGAAGACACTGAACTGCCAAGGGTTAAGGGGCTTTACCTAGCATAATGGTGGTGAACAAGATGGGCCAACCAGATTCCAGCTAAATAAAATTTAGAATTTAGGGAGCCACAGAGCATCATGAAAACCAAAGAATCACCATAAGAAGCCAAGACCTGACCTTGGCCATCTCAAGACAGAGGAGGAAATCAGCAACAGGGCCACTGAAACCTTATTCCACTTCTTCATTTTATCTGAGGCCCACTAAAATGTTTTCCATGGGAGGTATGGGGTCACCTGAAAGATAAGCAGGCACTTGGATGTTGTTGCTATTTTAATGAAGAAAGCCTTAGAATTATCACTGAGAGAAGCAAACAGCAGAATGATTTCTACTTGTAGTCGGTTGAATAGTATCCACCCAAATTTCACTTCAGTATTTGAAATTTCACTTCAGAAGATATCCTTTATCTAGAAACAGGGTCTCTGCAGATATAATTAGTAAAGGTGAGGTCATACAGGGTAAAGGAGAGGCTTAAACCTTAAATCCAATGACTGGGGTCCTTAAGAGAAGAGGAGACGACTCAGTAGGGAAACTCAGCCATGTGAAGACAGAGGCGGAGGATGCGAGGATGAAAGGGACGCCAAGGTTGATGGGAGCCACGAGAAAGAGACCGGGCAGGCCTCTTCCCTAGAGCCTTCAGAGAGAGAATAACCTTGCTGACACTTTATTTCAGACCTTCAGCCTTCATAACTGTGAGAGAATGAATTTCTGTTTTTAAGCCACCAATTCTGTGGTAATTGTTTATGGCTGCCCTAAGAATGAACACAGCACTCTACATCATAGTGGGATTATGGGAGTTTTTTCAGGATTTCCGCTCCAGCAGAGACTCCTTTCCTTTCTCTACTTCAGTTCCTTTTGGTTTCACCATAGTTTTCTCTCTGAAACACTCCTCATGACCTCAGGTCTCCAGTTTCTGCTACTACTGTTGTAGTTCCCACTTCCTGGGGCAGTGTTTGGCTTCCCCAGACTTGGGATGCCTTGAGCTCATTGTGGCAAAGCCAGCACACAGAGGGGCTGAAAGGTTGCCTGCCTGCAGGCTCCTCTGCCCACCTCTAACCAGCGGTGACTAAAAATTGTGGCACTTGACTACTCAGATTCTTCACCTGTGAAACATAGATGAACACCAGCCTTGCTAGGTTACTGAGCTTAAAATATGATAGATGAGGAAGGGCCTTGTAAAAATGAAGGCTCAGTTAAACTTGTAAGAAGCTGTTAGGTTGAATAGTATCCACCCAAATTTCACTTCAGTATTTGAAATTTCACTTCAGAAGATATCCTTTATCTAGAAACAGGGTCTCTGCAGATATAATTAGTAAAGGTGAGGTCATATTGGGTAAAGGAGAGGCTTAAACGTTAAATCCAATGACTGGGGTCCTTAAGAGAAGAGGAGACGACTCAGTAGGGAAAGTCAGCCATGTGAAGACAGAGGCGGAGGATGCGAGGATGAAAGGGACGCCAAGGTTGATGGGAGCCATGAGAATGAGACCGGGCAGGCCTCTTCCCTAGAGCCTTCAGAGAGAGAATAACCTTGCTGACACTTTATTTCAGACCTTCAGCCTTCATAACTGTGAGAGAATGAATTTCTGTTTTTAAGCCACCAATTCTGTGGTAATTGTTTATGGCTGCCCTAAGAATGAACACAGCACTCTACATCATAGTGGGATTATGGGAGTTTTTTCAGGATTTCCGCTCCAGCAGAGACTCCTTTCCTTTCTCTACTTCAGTTCCTTTTGGTTTCACCATAGTTTTCTCTCTGAAACACTCCTCATGACCTCAGGTCTCCAGTTTCTGCTACTACTGTTGTAGTTCCCACTTCCTGGGGCAGTGTTTGGCTTCCCTAGACTTGGGATGCCTTGAGCTCATTGTGGCAAAGCCAGCACACAGAGGGGCTGAGAGGTTGCCTGCCTGCAGGTGCCTCTGCCCACCTCTAACCAGCTGTGACTAAAAATTGTGGCACTTGACTACTCAGATTCTTCACCTGTGAAACATAGATGAACACCAGCCTTGCTAGGTTACTGAGCTTAAAATATGATAGATGAGGAAGGGCCTTGTAAAAATGAAGGCTCAGTTAAACTTGTAAGAAGCTGTTCCATTATTATTAAAAACCTCACCAAAGGTGAGGACCCTGGGAAATAAAAACCTTGTGTATCTGATCTGAGAGTCATTTTGTTACCCCTTCTTTCCTCCAGGTCTTCACTTCATGCCTTTATTTCATTGACTTGATTCAGAGGAGAGGAAGGGCCATGATTTGTCTTGATTCCTGGGAAGTGAAGCTTCTAATACAGTTACTGACAACCCCAGAACTGGTTGCCAGACCTCCCACTAAAAACTGGGAAAGATGAAATATCAGAGGGATCTGAAATGCTGGCTATATTTCTTAACTTCTTGTCTTTTCTTGAGAATGAACTATCAATAACAAAGGTAGTTAAATTCAACTTATTGGCAAGCATCTTTAGAGATTTTGGCATCATGAAACTTTCATATTTAAAAAAAATAAGCTTAGAGAAGGAATAAATTTTAATGATATACCTAGATTTTTAAGTAAAAATTCTTAAATTTAAACTGGCTTGTAGCAAATGGTCAATCTTAATTTAAATGGCAGTGAAGAAAGTGAAATAATTAAAACCAGCCAAGTAAGTAACAATTAGACTAATAATTTTCCCTCTAGTCATTAAATTTTTGTTTTATGTCATTTTTACATACGTTATTTAGGGTATTTCATCAATTTTAAAACACATTTTTTTTTTTTCACATTTTAACAACTATGAAATCAGGATGTGTCTGGTAGTCAGTGTGACCTATTATAATGCCTAATTATAATCAACATGGATGGTTGTTTTGTTTTCTTATCTGAGTGGTACTTAAAATGTGGGTGCATTTTACAATTGAGGAGTCTTACATTCTAGGAAATACCATATTTGATTTAGTGAAGATGGAAACTGTGAGACCTGTAGATAAATTTCTTTTTCTTCTTATAATGTTCTTATCAAATCTCAACGTAACAAGTGTGCCACGTTGTCTGCCTTGGAAATACATACTTGATATGTGCACTGTTTGCTCTAGAATTCAGTCATTTGTTGTTTTTGAGAACAAATGCATCATTAGAAAGAGAAGATATCATTTTAAGACTGAAGGGTAGAAACTAGATTTAGAAATAAAAATATAAGACAGTGTAAGGAAATATTAAACAGTTTCATTTCCATAATCACATCCTTGCAAAATGTCTTTACAGACCCAGCAAGTTTTCTGTTAAGAGTCTGAGCTAACAATATGGGCAAGAGTTCTGGTTTCTAGTCCCCTATCCGCTGCTTGATAACACCTATCCTTTCTGAACTTGTCTTACCTATTACACAAAGGGATTGAGCTGAATGGTTTCCAAGATCTGCTTCATTTCTAGGAAACTCTGATAATTCTCATTTTTAAAAGATTTAGTCAAACAAACATTTTAATACATCTACTCAGGTCCACAAAGCATAACTGCTTCTGGGTTCTCTTGTCTTACCAATGTGGTCGACGACTGGCTGAAAATTTTCATTTACAGAGACACTATAAAGAAACAAAAGTATTGTGAGTCAAACAACAAAATTATGCTAAATTACTTTTTAATTAAATAGACCAGAGTAAATGAAGAGCTAAGCTTTATGACAAGAGGACTTTAAGAAATCAATGAACAGCTAGGGACTGAAATAGTATTATTCTATTTTGTACTTTTAAGTGGATATATAACCTTTGCAATAAAAGATTATTACAAACACCTTCAAACACCTAGTTAAAATGAAAATTCCTATATGTCACACCTTGTCCCAGAAGGGTTACTCACATGTTTTCATGGATCTTTGCAAGAAGGATATGCAAGAGCATAAAGAAACACTTACAAGAATCCAGAGTCCAGCCACTGCTGAATTATTTCTTGTTTGGAATCTTCTGCAAATGAGAAACAGAGCAGTCAGTCAAAGCATAACCAGGTGAAGAGATATCATCTCATTATTTAGCCACTACCCAATAGGTCCATTTCCTAGTATTTAATCACATGTTTCTATAAGCAGAGTCATTTTTCCCCCAAGGCAAAACTTCCTGTTTTCCATAATTGGCTTTTCCTGAGAATAAAGTATAAACTTGCCAAAAGACTATAACTTAAAGAGAAAGAAAATGTTAAAAGAAAAAAAAGAGCAAGAAATGTTAGAATAATTTTTAAATTACCTGGTATGATACAAAGGCTGAAAAAGCATGGGAGATTTTTGCCTTTCCTTGTTGAATATAAATCACATGGAGACTCTCCTTACTGAATCACATTTACCTAAGGCAGCTAGCCAGTGATGTTTATTTGCAAGGAGTTCTCTGCCAGGTTAGAAAGTAAATTTGCATTCATTCTAGGGCAAATTGCACTACAGTCCCAGAATTGCCAAAGGCACCCTGTGTTATAAAAGCACCAGTCTTTTAAGGTGGATCTTTGTCATTGGCTCAACAAACTAGTCAAGAGGCAAAAAGGAAAGGCTATAAAAGTAGTTTTTCCTGTAAATATTTGCTTCCTTTCCAGTTGATTACAAGTTCTCTGGGTTTATTTTCTCTGACTTTATCCTAAGAAGCAGTAAGATACCTGAATTACTCCCTCACAAGGTGTCCGGTGAACCAAAAAGGCCAGAGAATATGGGAGGTGCTTAGTCTTCAACCGAGTTACTGTGAAGTGATAGAATAAATTGGTGGTGGCAAGGAAGAAAAGCCATCAAATAGTAACATCACAAACAAGTAAATAAGAAATCATAGTGAAAAAACAAATATTTTCTTACTTATTATTCTTTAAACAATTAAAATTAGTAGCAACACCTTGTGCAAAGACCTGCAAATAAGAGCCTTTCAATAAGATGTTTGATGTCCTGCAAGAAGCCTCATATCTCTGACATGAACTCCACAGTTTTGGGGTCCTAGGAGGCTTAGAATGAGGGGACATTGGAGTGGAAAGGAAGCAGAGTTCATTCTTTAGTTGGTCTGTTTCCATTAAGGTTTGTATTTTAAATGTCTGTAGGTTAAGTCAGATGTGCCCATTTCATAAAAGTTTTTGGTTATCATACCAGCAATACTGGCATCTTCACAGTCAAGTCCTTGTTCCAAAATCATTTGCCCTCAGCCCAAAGCTCCACATCCCTCACCACTCACAGTAGTTTGGTTTCAAATAGCCCTGATGGCCTGTTCTCACCCAGCATGGGGGTGGTGAGACTGTGGTCCTCCTCCTCAGAGCCAGGGGGCAGCTGCTCATCCAGGGGAGCCCATGCCTGCTTGGTCGATTTCAGTATGTCTCTCCTGCTCTTTTCCTGGCCTCCTTGTGACTTCTCCTCCATCATAAGAGAGTAATTCAGCATGCTAATTAAAAAAAAGACAACACACACACACACAAACAAATTAGACAGAATAAGTTCAGCTTCCAGGCTTGGTTCAGTAAGAGGGAGAGGACCAGAGGGCTCACAATCCAGTGAATGGATCCAGCTTCACAATTTCTGGGAGCCTGGCTCATTTATCCAAGCAAGTTCCCTGAAAGAAATAATCTAATTGTCATAATTTTGTAGTAAATTTAAGAGCAGTGGGGTTAAATTGCATACCCAAAGTCACACAACAAACAGGATTCAAACCCGGGTTCTGGACTCCAAACATGCTCCCATGACTATTAAACTGTGCGTGTGGCTTCTCCGATGGCTCAAGAGGTTAAGAATCTGTCTGCAATACAGGAGACACAGGTTCAACCCCTAGGTCATGAAGATCCTCTGGAGGAGGGCATGGCAACCCACTCCATTATTCTTGCCTGGAGAATCCTATGGACAGAGGAGCCTGGTGGGCTACAGTCCATAGAACTGCAAAGAGTCAGACACAACTGAGCATGCAGATTCATGCTCAACTGCCCTAAAGGATGGTTGAGACAATTGGGATATTAATAAATATATTATGCACATGATACAAGAAAGATAGCCTGCCATCATCAATTTGGCCTTTATTAATATCATTGTGACCTTTATTAATATCTCCTACCATAAGAAAGGAGACAGACTAAGAAAAGAGACAGAAGTCTAGGGCAGTTGTATAAATTGTTTAAAATCCCCATACTATCAGCACATTGAGAACAAGGACCTCCTTCTTTACTAGCTGGTTGTCAGTATTTGAATTATCAGCAGATAGTAGGTGCTAAATAAATATGTACAAAATTAAAACAGCAAGTGCAGCAATCAGAGAAGAAAAAGAAGTAAGAGGAATCCAAATTGGAAAAGAAGATGTTAAACTGTCACTGTTTGTAGATTATAAGATACCACATATGGAAGATCCTAAAAATGCTACCAGAAAACTGCTAGAACTCATCAATGAATTTGGTAAAGTTGCAGGTTATAAAATTAATACACAGAAACCTGTTGTGTTTTTATATACTAGCAACAAAAGATCAGAAAGTGAAATTCAAGAATAATTCCATTTACCATTACCTCAAAAAGAATAAAATACAGAAGAATAAACCTACCTAAAGTGGCAAAAGACCTGTAGTCTGAAAACCATAAGATGCTGATGAAATAAATCAAAGAAGACATAAATAGATGGAAAGATATACCATGTTTGTGCATTAGAAGAATCAATATTGTCAAAATGACTATCCTACCCAAGGCAATCTACAGATTCAATGCAATCCCTATCAAATTACCAATGGCATTTTTCACAGAACTAGAACCAAAAAAATCTCAAAATTTGTAGAGAGACACAAAAGACCCCAAATAGTCAATACAATCTCAAGAAAGAAAAACAGAACTGGAGGAATCAGGCTCCTTGACTTCAGACTTTTCTACAAACCTACTATCATCAAAACAGTCTAGTTCTGGCACAAAAATAGAAACATAGATTAAGGGAACAAGATAAAACACCCAGAAATAAGCCCATGCACCTCTGGTCAATTAATATATGACAAAGCAGGCAAGACTACACATTGTTGGAAAGACAGTCTCTTCCACAAATGGTGCTGGGAAAACTGGACAGCTACGTGTAAAAAACATGAAATTAGATCATTCTTTAACTCCATACACAAAAACAAGCTCAAAATGGAGTAAAGCCCTAAATGTGAGACTGGAGACTATAAAACTCTTGGATAAAAACATAGGTAGAACACTTTCTGACATAAATCACAGCAGTATCTTTTTCAATCTGTGTCCCAGAATAATGGAAATTAAAACAAAAATAAACACATAGGACCTACTTAAACTCAAAAGCTTTTGCACAACAAAGGAAACAATAAACAAAGCAAAAAGACAACCCACAGGTTTGGAGAAAATATCTGCAAATGATGTGACCAATAAGGGTGCTGTGCTGTGCTGTGCTAAGTCACTTCAGTAGTGTCTGACTCTTTGTGACTCTATGGACTGTAGCCTGCCAGGTTCTTGTCCATGGGATTCTCCAGGCAAGAATCCTGGAGTGGGTTGCTATTTCCTTCTCCAGGGGATCTTCCACCCAGGGATAGGACCCGTGTCGCTTACGTCTCCTGCATTTGCAGGCAGGTTCTTTACCACTAGCGCTGCCTGGGAAGCCCTGACTGATAAGGGATTAGTTTCCAAAATTTACAAAAATAGCTCATGATGCTGTTTGTAACAGCATCAAAACAAATAACCCACTCAAAAAAGTGGGCAGAAAATCTAAATAGACATTTCTCCAAATAAGACATACAGATGGTGAATGGGCGCATGAAAAGACGTTCAGCATTGTCAATTATTAGAGAAATGCAAATCAAAACTACAATGAGATATAGCCTCACACCAGCCAGAATGGCTATCATAAAAGAATTCCACAAACAATAAATGCTGGAGAGGATGTGAAGAGAAAGGAATCTTTTTACACTTTTTGATGAGAATGTAAATTGGTACAGCCACTATGGAGAACAGTATGGAAGTTCCTTAAAAAACTAAAAATAGAGCTACCATATAACCCTGTAATCCCACTCCTGGGCATATATCTGCAAAAAAACATGATCCAAAAGTATACTTGCACCCTCATGTTCATTACAACACTGTTTAAAATAGCCAAGGCATAAAAGCAGCCAAAATGTCCATTGACAGAGGAGCGGATAAAGAAGACATGGTATGTGTATACAATGGAATATTACTCAGCCATTAAAGAATGAAACAATGTCATTAGCAACAGCATGAATGGACCTTCACTCCATGTCATACTGAGTGAAGAAAGTCAGAGAGAGAAGGAGAAACATAGCATGACATCCCTTATATGTGGTATCAAAAAATGATATAAATGAAATTCCCTACAAAACAGAAAAAGATTCATAGATAAAGGATGAACTTATGGTTGCTGGGGATGAGGAAGTATGGGGGAAAGGGATAGTTAGGGAGTTTGGGGTGGACATGTACACATTGCTATATTTAAAACAGATAACCAACAGAGATCTACTGTATAGCATATGGACCTCTGCTCAATGTTATGTGGCAACCTGAAGGGAGGGGAATTTAGGGGAGAATGGATACATGTATATGGATGGCTGAACCCCCGTGCTGTTCAACTGAAATTGTCACAACATTATTAATTGGCTATACCTTAATACAAAACAAAATATTAAAAAAATTAAAGTAACAAAGCCAGAGTACAAAACCATTAAACCTGACTAAATTCTTTCCAGGCATCTACCTGAAATTGTGTTAGTTTATTCTTCAAGTTTAAAGAAATGACTGAATAGTCAAATACGTACTTCAGCATCGTATCTTAAATCCCTAAACTTCTGCACAATCACTGATAATATTACATGGAGACAATCATTCCTAATCAGTGTTTTAATAAGTCAAGTTGTTCAGATTATTATAAACATCGGAATATTTTTATTTAATTACAGATGAGCATTCTATGAGCAATTGGCAATAAGAGTCTTCTTACAAGCTTTATATTCTAAACTTCTGTTGTTCACTTGTATAAATATACAATTATTTTTGCAATAATAAATTACTGCAAAAATTATTTGGGATGGCTGCTAATCTTATATTTAAAAAGCAATTATTAAATAATCTCAATTAATTAAAAATAAAGGCAGAGGGTGGACAGTTAATATCTATATTAATGGTGAGCCTTTTAGCCAGCTAATTTTAGAAAGTTAACTTTAGGAAAGTCCTCTGGGAAAAAATAAATGTTTATAAAAATTTCAATATGTACCACAGCTTCCTCATCCATTCGTCTGCTGATGGGCATCTGGGTTGCTCCCATGTCCTGGCTATTATAAACAGTGCTAACATAAGACAGAAATTATACAGAGGTGATTATATTTCTAAACTCTATAGAATTATTTCATATGCTAGAACCCATAATATGGCAAAATAAAATCTAGAAACTATATTTAATTTTAGTTATCTAACTTTTGAGTAAAAAAGTTCTCTCTGGCAATGCCTTTCATTTTGTATGTGTGAATTATAATAAAAACATCAACTTTGACACTGCAAAATCTCAGAAGGAAGAAACCCCCCAAATCATGCTCAACAACATTCATGAAACATCAGACTTAGTAAAGGATCAGGGTTAGAAGAAAAGAATAATGTATGACAGAACAGTAAGATTCCCCAAGTAATCTTGCTCCTTCATTGACCTAGCTGAAAGTCAGTTTCTGTGTAGCAAGAAGATTTTGCTTTGTAGTGGGAACAGGATGTATTAAGCAGCTCTGAACTCAAGTTGCTGCTTCTGTCCTAAAAAGTGGAATTTTCACCTATCGACTACTTTTTCAAACCTAATACTGTAAAAATCATCAAAACTTTAGATCAAGGTGCTGCGTTATACATACACCCCCTAAATTTCCTTTCTACAATGACATGTGTGACCTCAGCCACCAGCCTTGCACAGCCAGTGAGGATATGCTCCCTGCCAGCTCAGTTGTACTTGGCCTTAGAGTAGGAAAAAGCTTGCCAAGAAAAGTGGGAACCCTTGCTAAAAACAAGGGTCAGGGACTGATTTGTAAAGAAAAATTCTTTTGTTTCCTCTGTTTTAGTGGATGCCTTCCCAGTTAGTAAACAAATCTGCTTCTGGAAATGTATTCTCTGATGCTTGAATGACCTTGCTTTGGCATCATCCACTGGCTTGACCCCCAGGGCAGTCTCTTGGAAAAGGACACAGATCAGGCACCATGGTGCTTATTCGCTTCAGTCGTGTCCAACCCTTTGCGACCCCATGGACTGTAACCTGCCAGGCTCCTCTGTCCATGGGATTTCCCAGGCAAGAATACTGGAGTAGCTTGCCATTTCCTCCTCCAGCGGGTCTTCCCTACCCAGGGATGGAATCTGTGCCTTCTGCGTTGCAGGCAGATTCTTTACTGCTGAGCCACCCAGGAAGCCCCACAGATATTAAGTGGCCCGCTG